AACATCGACATGAATTCTGTGGTCCTGGGAAAAGGAGACTCAAGTCTGAATGAATGATCTCAAACCCGGAAGGGTTAAAGTCTGCATCTAAGTGGTTGATCTACGTCCAGCCTGTACACACAGCGAAAGAGTGTGGGAGAGTCAGCGGAAGGAATGGTAACAGAGGCACTAGAGGAAGGAAAGGAAACAGACGAGAGGGAGACAGGAAGATGATAAACAGGAGGAAACGACATGACACACAAAGGGGAGAGACGGGACAGGAAGAGATAAATGGGGAAACCGAGACAGGGAGGCGCGTGACAAGGACACTAAAAAAAAAAGTCGATCATGGAGTCCAACGGGAGAATGTAGCAAGGAGACTGTAATCTGGAAATTGTAACAGAGAATGTAGCAGGGAGACGGTTGCACAGAGACTGTAACAGAGGATTGAGGATTAACATCGAGAATTTAACATGGAGAAAATAACAGAGAAAGTAACACTGAGAATGTAACACTGAGACAGTATATGACTGGCAAGCAGACCTGAGATTTAAAAAAATGACACATTTACGGATAAGAGTTCATAGGGAAGGATTAAAAAAAATACAGGTTATACAAATACACAAATGGCAGCGCGACATACGCGGAAGAGAGCGCCAAGGAGATACAGAGTGACAAGGGTAAAAGCATAGACGAACAAAACATATAAGGGAAGAAGTTTAAGAGTGAAACGTGAGGAAGATTACACATCGGAGAAAGTTATCGGAGGCAAGAAGACAAAAAAAAACAGAGAGGAAATGGTTAAAAATAAAAAACGACCCCAAAAAAAAAGTGACAAAGGAGGGTGAATAAAAAATAGGAGAAAGTGTATTGGGTATGGGAAAGGGAAGGGCGGGCGGGGGGGGGGAGAGAGACTTCATTAAGGTCAGAGTGACCGGAGGGAAAGAGAAATTTAAAAAAGATAAAAGTAGGTGACAACAGCGTGGAAATGGAAATGCGTGGCAAGCTGTGATCGGAGTGAGAAAATGGAGAAAAATAAATGACATTCAGATATAATGACAAGAGAGGAATGAGTAAGAAGAACGCAGACAAACAGACCAGACAGACAGACCAGAAAGACAGACAGACCAGAAAGACAGACAGACCAGACAGACAGACCAGAGAGACAGACAGGCAAGAGAGACATACCAGACCAGACAGACAGACCAGACAGACAGACAGAAAGATAGAGAGACAGACCAGAAAGATATACAGACCAGAGAGACCAGACAGACAGACAGACAAACCAGACAGGACAGACAGACAGAACAGACAGAAAGACAGACCAGACAGACAGACAGACCAGACAGTCAGACCAGACAGACAGACAGGACGAAACACACAGGATAGACCAGGCAGGATAGCCAGACAGACAGACCAGACAGGGCAGACAGACCAGACAGGACAGACAGACCAGACAGAGACAGACATTTTGATAGATAGATACAAAGGGATAAAGTGAGGGAAAGATCACAGTGGATGGGGATATGGGGAGTGACGGGAAACAAACGTCGAAGAAGAAAGAGGTCTAAGTAATGTAATGTAATATGTGTGTGTGTGTGTGTGTGTGTGTGTGTGTGTGTGTGTGTGTGTGTGAGAGAGAGAGAGAGAGAGAGAGAGAGAGAGAGTAAATGAATAAATGAATCTATTTGTGTATGTATGCATGTACATACGTATGACAGGAAAGTGTATGTAACTGAAGGGAAAGGAACGCATACAAACATATACACATGAGCTGAAATTGAAAGGCACACAAACACCGTAAATACATTCATATTTTGCGAACCGTCTGTGAAGGAAATGTTAGGTTAAACTGTAAGAGAAGGATGTACAGTGACATGTTTACACGCACGGTTAGATTATCCCTACAGATAGGAACAAACATAACATACGCATGTACGTTGACTCCCACTCACAAACACACTAAATACCCGCACGGGAGCAAGTCCGGCGAGTAACAGATATAGAAGAGAAAAGGAGGGGAGGGAGGGGGGGGGGACAGGCGGAAATGAAGATAAACATAATGACTGAGCAGGAGTAGCAGCAGACCGGCAAGCCAGACAGACATACAGCAGCCAGCCAGCCTGAGAGAGAGAGAGAGAAAGAGAGAGAGAGAAAGAGAGAGAGAGAGAGAGAGAGAGAGGAGAGGGGGGAGAAAAAGAGACGGCGAGAGAGAGAGAGGAGAGAAACAGACAGACAGCAGCCAGCCAGAGACAGAGAGAGAGAGAGAGAGAGAGAGAGAGAGAGAGAGAGAGAGAGAGAGAGAAACGGACAGACAGAGAGACAGACAGCAGCCAGACAGAGAAAGAAAGGCAGGACGGACAGACAGACATTCAGACAGACAGACATTCAGACAGACAGACATTCAGACAGACAGACAGACAGACAGACAGACAGACAGACAGACAGACAGACAGACAGACAGACAGACAGACAGACAGACAGACAGACAGACAGACAGACAGACAGACAGACAGACAGACAGACAGACAGACAGACAGACAGACAGACATTAGACACTTACGTAAGGTCCCACGGGCATGGGTGCTGCAGGTCCTGGCGGTGGCTGGGGAGACAGAATGACGTGTGTGAGGATACCGTGCTCGTCGACGATCTGCTGCACCATATGTCCTGGAGGCACCTGCATGGGCATCGGCACAGGGGGGCCGTTACTGGACACCATGCGGACCGTCGCTGGACCTGTTGATGACCATAGATACATTTTTAAAAAAAAAGTTAGTTGTATACCCTTACAGGACGTTGGAGAGCCAACTCCAGCAGTTTATGGCTGTTTTGTTCGGGCAGGGCAGATCAGGCTCTTGGCCTTCGCTAGCAGCTGGTCTGGGAGGGAAGCTCCTATAGGGGAACAGTTGGAGCCCTGCTCTTCTGATCCGGCAGCTTCTGCGTCGTGCTTTGTTTCTAATGCTCTAGTGGTACTTTTTTTTTAAAGGCCGAGACAGGGACCACGATGCAACATATGTTTTCTACAATACTGCCCAGGTTTTGTGCTTTAGTAGTCACTCTCATGATCGCCAGCCATGGGCTGTGAGCCTCGCGCCTCCTCACAGCAATATATATCACTATCGTCTGGAGAGACGGGAAGGGGCAAACACGTTTTAACCAGGAAAATATACGTACAGCAGTTCACTATTGTTCAATGAACTGTCAGCGCTTTGTACCACTGTAGAAGTCAAAGCACAGCAGACCGGTGCTAAATCGCCTGCACCTGGAATCGAACTGGATATTTCGAATAGCACGAAGCGCGTTCGCAACACCTGAGACCTATACGGCGACAATAATTAATTTAGTTGCAGAACCAACCCTAGCATTTTTAGGGGGCTGTGTGGTTTTTCTAGGCATATTTTACGTTCAGTAGTTTGCCACTGCCCATGAACGGTCAGCTCTCGGTACCACTGTCGAAACCAACGCAAGACAAATTGTCGGCAGCTGGGATCAAACCTGGCACCCCGGCATTACGAAGCGCGTTCACAACGCCTAAGCCGCAGACAATAAGTACTTACAAGTTTGCTGCTAACCAGGCATGGATATTTCATTAAGGGCGCACGATGCATTTCTTCTTAATTCTTTTTTAAGCGTTCGCTCTTTAAAGGTGGCTTCCACATACTGTGTCCTAGTTTATAGCTAGGCTGCAATATCTTTTGGTTAAACACGACTGATTTCACTAAAGACCAAATGAGTCGACCTTTACGACATGTATGATGGGGCGACGAGAAAAGGGAAAGGGGGTGTCATAGGACATTAACTGGTACCTTTTCTAAAGTGGGCTCACCTAGGAGAGCCAATGTAATTTTAACCTTCCCCCCCCCCATCCGGTCTTTCTCTCTCTCTCTCTCTCTCTCTCTCTCTCTCTCTCTCTCTCTCTCTCTCTCGATACGGAGTTGAACCCAAGATCGTCGGCCGCAGGCGAGCTTTCTCCCACCGTCGCTGTTCTTAATCACTAGTTGCAATAAAATACATTGAGGTGTAAAATAAGAATGGTAGTACAATTCTGGTCAAAGCAAAAATACCTAAAACTAGCTGTGCCCTGCCACGCGTTGCTGTGGCCCCGAATAGTGAAATGGAAAAGAAAGAAAGTAGCTCTCAGCTAACAGTGTCTGTCATAACCCTCACTACCCTTCCGTCTCCCCTATACCCAGTCATGTCTCCCTCTCTGAAGGATTGAAAAATCATCCATGGCGAAAGTATTAAAATAGAAATAGTTAAGAAATAAGAACTTGAAAATAATGTCTTAAGCTCTCTCAGCTAACAGTGTCTGCCATCAACCCCTCGCCCCCCCCCCCCCCCCCGCCCCCCCCCCCCCCCCACCCCACCCCCCCACCCCACCCCCCCCCCCCCCCCCCCCCCCCCCCACTGATCATATCATCCTCGCCGAAGGATGGGAAAGTCATATTCATGATCATATCATCCTCGCCGACTAAATATTGTAAAACTAAAATTGAGCTTTGATCGTGTCCACCCAGAGACAGATGGATAGCATTAATGTGTAATGAGAAGTAAATGTGGCCAGTGTAACAGCTACCACAGTAAACCACCCAAAGTAAACTGGACTGTAAGCAGTCTTAGTTAACAGCTTCTGTCATCAACGAATAGTTTATGATCGAAGCGTCGCGGGGAGCATAAATGAAATTACTGAAATCGGATGCCTTTGGGCGAAAGGTGCAGATATCGCAGCCTAGCTGTAAACCACAACACAACATGCAAACAGCCCTCTTAGGGGAAAAAGAAAAATTAGCACCCAGCGGGGAATCGAACACCGGTCAACCACGTGAAGGGTGGAATACGTACATTACTACCTAAGACCGAAGAGTTTGGGTCCCATATCGCAGCCTAGCTGTAAACTACAAAACAACGTGCCAACCGCCCTCTCAAGGGCGAACGAATATTACCCGTGACATGACCAATATCACGTCGCCGCTATCACAGGCTAACTGTAAACCCCCAAACCGAGCGGAAAAAAGACGTAGATATCGCAGCCTAGCTATCAGCCACAACACAACGTGCCAGCCGCTTAGTTAAGGGCAAAAAAAAAATTAATCACCCAGCGGGGCATTGATCGCCAGTCACCCGCGTAACGCGCAAAATATACAACTACGCTACCAAGGACTCAAGCATCTGCCCAATTATATCTCGTCTCCGAATGAGTGAAACATAATTATGTGGCGACAATGTTAAAAAAGAAATAGTTAAGAAATGAGAACTGAAAAATAATACTCTACGAAGTATGGGAAAGTCATCGCCTGAAGATATGTTGTTAAATTGAGCTTGGTATCCGTTTCCACCCAGACAAAAATGGGTAGCATTAATCTGTACTGAGAAGTAAATGTGGCCACTGTAAAAGCTACAACATAACCCATCGAGTACCAGTACTACTGCTACCACTACCACCACCACCGTCACAACAACAACACAAAACGGTCACTACTGTCTGTACAGGTCGCTCTAGCCAGAGGAGTTGGCGCTGGGCGTAAGACGCAGATGTCGCAACTTAGCTGTAAACCACAACACAACGTGTTAATCGCCCCTTTAGAGGAAAGAGAAAAATTAGCACCCAGCGGGGAATCGAACACCGGTCATCCACGTGAAGGGCGGAATACTTACAACTCTACTACCGATGACTGAAGACTTTAGGTCACATATCGCAGCCTAGCTGTATACCACAAAACAACGTGCCAACCGCCCTATCAAGGGCGAACGAATATTACCCGTGACATGAACATTGAGCATCACGTCGCCCATTTAGCAGGCTAGCTGTAAACCTTAAATCGAAAGGGGGAAAAAGCGTAGATATTGCAGCCTAGCTATAAACCACAACAAAACGTGGCAGCCACCCAGTTAGGGGACCCAAAAAAAAGTATATCACCCAGCGGGGAATCGAACCCCTATCACCCGAGTAAAAAGCGAAATGCGTACAACTAACTACGCTACTATAAATACTCGAGAATTTAGTAAAAATGAAAGTTAATAATAAGAATGTGAAGTTCGGTGTTACACAGTCAAAGTTGGCAAATTGATTAAAAACAATTCCGGGCCGGCAACGAAACAAATACGAACATCGTTAGTAGTTTGTGCAATTTTGTGACACACACACAAAAAAAAAAAAACACGCTTTGAGTCAAAGGCAACGTTGTGTGAAAATTTGAAAGCAATCGGTTCAGTAGTTTCCGAGTTTTTAGGTTACAACATCGGAAAATTAACATTTTTATTAATATAGATTAACAGGATTGAATTCTACTTGTTGTCAATTCTGATCATACCAAAAATAGATTTATGTGGGAATCCTGAATATTACAATTCTGATCATATCACAAATACATACAAGTGTGATTACATAAATAATTTCGCTCAGTTCGTGAGCGTGGTCTGGCGACTAGAAGTTCGCCTGCGGATCGGAAGGTCATGGGTTCGACTCTTGACAGAGACCGGACTTTTTTCTAAAATGAGTTTGGCTCCCAGGTCGACCCAGCCTAGAGTGAGTACAAGGTACAGTCCTCGGAAGTAAAGGCGGTCGACGTGATGCTGACCACATCACCCATCAAATGCCGCTTGGTCTATAAAATATAGATCTAGCCCTATGTACCCTATTACTTCTCGGGGCTTGTACAAGAATGGGAACTGACATTTTCTGAGGCGGGTAATCGGTTCTTTTAAGGTATCATTAAAGGTTTTAATCTTCAGGTGTGGGGTTCTGGGGTCACATTTGAAGAAGATCCCCTAATAAGCATGTAGTAAAAGGGGTTTTCCTTCAAAGTCGCAGTGCATCTGCCTGACAGAGGATCAACCAACAGTCTGTACACAAATACGCCAACCCTGTAAAACGGGCGTGCATGCAAAACTCAAGTTCTGGAACGAGACCAAAGTCTAGTACTGGGCGAATAACCAGAAACTTCCTCTGGAGCTTACATCCAGTGAACACCAAGAAGATGAAGATCCCTTCAGGTTGTTATCAGAAAGACCCACCTGTCATACGCCTCTGTCGAGCAGGCATCTGGCTCTAAATATTTTCAAAGACCACTCGGCGGTCAAAGGGTGATGTAGTCAACACCATGCCGGCTGCGTTTGCTTCCCCCAACATGACATGATTGTGAGGGCCCTTTGGGAGCGAGTAAACAGTGCGGAGGCGCAGATAGATCATTATGGTCTAGGGTGACTGGCGCTGCGGGGAGTTACCAGGGGATCTGGCCCACGCTCAACACTCAGGGGAATGAAGAGATGAATATACATTCAGACGGTTACTGGTACCATCGGAATTGGAACTCTTCGCTTGTTGCTAAAGATGGGGACTGAGCACTTATGGGGGTGTCCGGAGTGTTGTGATGTCGATTCTTAATTCAACATGAGATGGTACTCACTCTAGACTTGGTCAACCTAGAGGAAGCCAAGGTAAATTTTGAAACTACATCTACGCAGCTTCCCTCTAATCGACTGACTATACCTGATCCATCTACTATGACCTACCCAATGTAAATCTATAACCTCGCTTGGCATAGAAAGAGAAACGGCTTTCCCTACCTCAAACTAGTACCAAAATAACGCTCCCATACCTCATGAAATAAATTTTACCTCTTCTTGCCCTGTTTGACAAAACCATAGTTTGACTTACTAAACGTTAAATTGCTTAGTAAAAGCACAAAAGGCAAAAAAATGTTAGGGTTGGCTCTGTTATCGACAGGTAACTACAG